GAACATCTTAAGTGCATGATGTTACTATGAAATTTCTTTCATCATTTTTTTTGGGTTTCTTTTTTCTCTTTTTCGGTTTCTCTCCTTAACAACTCAAACTTGAATCACACTTTCCAAAATGGAAGAACTCATTGAGAATGTTTTTCCTTAATTAACCACTCGAATGAAGACTCAAGTGACAATTCTGAACAACAAAAACTCTTTCAAAACCTTTAGAGATCTCACATCAGAATCTCTTATCATGATTAATTTTTTTCTTAGCAAGAATTGTTTATATTGTCTTTGTCAACTAAGAGAAGGAAAGGACAATTTTCTAAACTAGGGTATCTTGAAGGTATTAGGTAACCTTATTCTTTTAATCATCATGCCCCATAATACAAGTGAAAGACAGCTTAGGAAAATAGATTGAAAGGTTCACATTTATATCCAATTGAAAGAATTTGAGTGGTTTTAGCATATTTGAGGCTTTGAAGCTTTAGCATAATCTTGACACTTATCGAATTGCTAGACTTAGATTCTTTACGAAAGTGTTTGATTTGCTTGTTTTTTTCCCAAAATATAAAACAAAGAAATTTTACAAGTTAACTACTTATGACATTGATGATCATTGCCTAGACAAAGACCATCGTCATCTGGTATAAGGTTGATAAAAGTTCAAGACCTTTGTTTCCATTTGGGTTCACACTCTCGAGTGACCTTTATTCAAATGATCGATGTTAGTGGTATTTGGAGAAATAGTTTAAGAATGCTTGCAAGGATAGGTTTGTTCTAAATAGTAACTATCAATTCTTTCAAGATCATTTCACACTTTAATGTCAAAAACATTAAAACTTCAATTACAAATTTAGAAGTTTATATTTCTTAACAAAGTCCTACTCATGCCATGCTCATGAATACAAAATTAGTGTCAGATTGAATGTGTGCTAAGAACGGAATTTAAACAAGACAGTATATGTGGGTGCCTGCGCATCCGTGTATGACAACGTGCATGTGCTTGTATGCTCACTTAATAACCAAGCTGCCTTGTTAGCCAGGTAAATCTGTTTCATCAGGGGAGACTTGTTGGAAGCCAAATATGTATGGTCCTTAACTATTATTATTAATTCGTTTGCCGTTGCCTTAGGTTAGTGAAAATCACAGTCATCTTCCTCTAGTGCCATGTATCCAAATGTTCCTACCAGGCGAGTGGGTGACAATGCTGCACTTCCAGCTTTGGGGAACATTTTTGCCAATCCAAGTCCAAGTTACAGTAATGGTTCAGAACTAGTACGCTCATGTCTCATCCACAGTCAGCATTAACAGGCAAGGGCATAGGGAAAATGAAAGCAAACATGTTTCATGTTTCACAATAGAAAGGAAAGCTATGATCCTCAAATGGTAAGATATTCAAGTATTTGCCATCCCAATTTAAAAGGATGGAACTCATTCTTTCACAAATTTTTTCTAAACATGACTAATGCTGGTGACATGTGCTGACTTTTTCTGGAACTCAGCCAAGAAGCCATTATAACTCATGTACAATAACCCAAAACATCATATACAGAACATTCTTCAACAATTTACTAATAACAAATAACAAATGTGTGCAACTACCGACCTGGCCTCTTAGCTCTGCATAGTAAACAGAGTTCTCCATACTAGAACTCAACTGATGTGTCAATGATATCGTCTTTATGGCCTTTTGCTTTACAGCTAGGAGCTAAACACCCCCAACCACCCCTAAGGGGATAAAGAAAAAAAAAGGAAGAGGAAAAAATCAGTAATTGAAATTATGTCAATCATCATCTACTTGATCTTTTCAAAAAAAAAAATCATCATCTACATGAGACATCTAATGACTCTGTTCTTGAAAAGGAAAAAGAACAAAAGAAAAAAGATGTTAAGAACACAATGATTCTATAAAAGCATTGCTTGATAGTGGGAACAGGTTGAGCCATTTAGTCAAGAGCAGATAGAGATGACAGTCCTGGCACTCAGTAAGGATGTGAAGTTGCGAGTTGCGAGCTTTTGAAAGGAGAACTTTAGGAACGAGGACCTACTAAAAGCATGATATCTTGCTCTGCCCCAATGGTACTAAAAACCAGTCCTTGTGATAATTAATCATCTATTCATTCAAAATGGATAACAAGTGATTCAATACTTGCAAAAAGCAGTAAATTTGTGTAGCGTTCTTCAATTCCTAACTCATCAAACAAACATAAGGGGAAAGTGGACAGAGAAATCTGGGTGAGGGGGACAGAGAAAATGTACCATCCCCAGCTTGAGCAGGTAGAATTTTGGGTGACTTAGAGGGAAACATTGCCCACTTCAGCTTCTTCTTCTGATAAAAGCCAAAATATAGAACACGTCCAGCCAGCAGTAGGAATCCAGCTACTGCTGTCGAAGATATCCCAGCAACAACCATACCGGATAGTCCTACTGAACATACATATAAAGGAAAGCTATGAGCTCAAAGTATACGATCAAGGTTTGAGTATAGAGCTTCAGCATGCCAATATACAAGTACTGATAATCCTCAGAAAGCCAACATTCAGAGAGAAGGCAACCACCTGCGCTGCAAACTTGAAAGAAAGGAAAATATATTTAGGAAATTTATGAAGGATGCTTAGATGCAAGAATAAGACATACTAATAAATTTGACCACTTGAAGACTAGAATAATGGATGCTACCTGGACCTCAGGGGTCGATAATTACCACTTGCATCTGTAAAGAGAAGTAAAACTTTGGTGAAACAAGTTGAGAGCAACACATGAACACTCAGGATCTAGAATATTAGATACAAGATTAAGCTAATAATTCAATAATAGCAATATACGCTAGAAATAAAAATTTACAATTGTTGCAAACATAGTAATTCAATATACAAACATAAAATTTTAAGAATTAAATAAACATACAATGTATTAAATAATTAAAATTTACATTATTTAAATAATAATATTAAAATAATACTATTTACTATCATCTAATGTTGTTATTTAATTATATGATCATTTATATCACTTAAATATTAATATTAGAATATATATAAAATGTTAAATAACTTATTATTAAATGCTATAATTATATAAAACATGTAATATTATTTAATATATTAAATTTTATTAAGTAATTATAATACTAATTAATTTTATTTACTTTATAATTATATTATTTAATACAAAAAATTTTAATATTAGATTGTTTCATATGACGAAAAGTAATTTAGTTTAGAATAAAAAATTATATTAATAAATAATACTACAATTATATACTAATGTTAAGTAATATTATTTAATCATTATTATAACAATATTAATAAATAACAGTGAAATATTATATTATTAGAACATTATTAATACTAATAAATTATTAAATTATTAAATAATTGAATTGATTGAATAATTATTACATAATTAAATTATATAAATATTTAATTATTAATAATTTTTTAAATTACTATATATTGAATTGATTGAATAATTATTACATAATTAAATTATATAAATATTTAATTATTAATGATTTTTTAAATTACTATATCTTTAATAATTAAACTATTAAATAATTATTAAAATTATTAATTAATTATACAACATTAAGTAACAAAAAACACCAAATCAACTTAAAAACCTTGCTTACAACAGAAGAAAGTCACCTTAGGCTGGAACAAAAATCAAACCATCCCCTCCGCTAAGATTCACCACCTCATTGTAGCTCTGCACCAACACTCCAGCATCCTGGGAAAGATTGGTCTGAGTCAGCACAGCTTCCAAAGTCTCCCTGGGTAGAAGCGGGTAGGTGATAAACAACCCGTAATTCTTTGAAACAGAAGTATCACCACATGAACAGTTCACAGTCACATTCATCTTATCATTTTCAGCCATCTCATCGGCATCATTCGTGTTAGACCGCTGCAACCACTCCACCGTGGTCAGGTTGGAGTAGTACAAAGTGGCGATTTTCTCGTAGGTGTCGCCAGACTTAACCTCGTACTCGAACACGTGGCCAAGGAATTCACCGTTGATGCAGTCACAAGGGAAGGTGACGTTGACCCTGGTAAAAGCTTTGAGCCTATCTTCGCCTTCCACTTGCTTGTTGAAATCCAGGATGGCATCGGCCACGCCTTTGGTACAATCTGGGAATGCAAAACCTCGGATATGAAGGTTACGCTTGTGTTTTCCCAAGCGTAGTAGGATGCTAATGCTAAGTCACACCCTTTCTTGTATTTTGATTCTATTACGGTAATGGAAAGCGAGACGAAGAACAAACATTGAAAACGCAAGCTAAATCTTAGTAGAGTCATCTTTTCTTCTCTGTTAGTGGTGAAGTAGCCTTGGTTCTTTGATCTTCGTTTTAAAGTTTAAACGAATTTCCGTGCTTTGGTTTGTGATAAGCGTTTACTTCCACCAAGTTTCTTAGCATTGATTGGTTTCTGTTCCAGCTCTTCCACATTGAGGAAAGTCGTGTAGGGACCGCTTTAGCCACAAACAGACGCCCAAATTTGAGAAACGGAAGTCAGAAAGTGCAACACAGTCAACTAATAAATGGACTGATGATTGAAGTAGTCTGGATAGAAGAGGTAAGACCAGTATTTGAAAGAGACCCTGGAATCTGGCGAGAAGTTTCCAAGTTGAGATAAAACTGGAACGACGGGTTTCATCCGGTTATATGCATCATAGCCTCATGAATCTCATATTCTGTAGATTCTGAATTTCTACTTTTGGCAATGGGTTGGACTTTTAATTAACAAAGCCCAAAATAGGTGTTGAGTAGTTTCAAAAGCTGAAGACTCCACTAGAATCTAGAATAAGAATCTTCCTGGACAATTGGCAAAGTTCAGCTTCGTTTATCAAAAGCCTTTAAGCTTCTAAACTTGGCTAGGGTTCTAAAATGATTTTAGATTGTATCTAGTATAATAATTTCCTGGGGCATGCTGCTTTAGCGTCATTGATTGCGTTACTTCTCTTGTGAACAAGAGCAAGTTCAACTACATAAAGGGAAATAGAAGCTTTTGGTCTATAATAAAAGAAATTCCATACTTTAAATCAGTAGTACATATATCAATTTTCCTATAGTTACATTGATTTTATTTTCATCGGATATTTGAAGAACACCTAGCAAAAAAATGCGTCTTGTATGTAATTTTTTTTTTAAAAAATAATGATTTCATGCGACATATCAAGAAGTAATCTCAACGATTACATTTACAAACATCTGGAAATGGCTGTAGTGTAATTCGCAACAAAAATACCTTTGCAATGCATTCTCTCTATCGTCCTGACATGAGGTTGACAAGAGCGTGATTTTCGTAGAAAGAACCAACATCCCAATCCTCTGTTGACGACGAGAGAGTCATGAGGGCAACCACTATAGACCTCATGCTCGGTCGTAGTTGAGGATTTTCTTGTGTACAAGCTTTGGCTAGCTGAGCCATCTGCAAATCAAAACAGCCACCAAAGCTTTATCAAATTGAAATCATAAAATGAAAGTCCTAGCACATTATTTCTCGGAAACTGCTCTCACCTTGAACACAGAGTCAAGTGGGTAATTATCTCCAAGCCTCTGATCAATAAGTTTGCAAAGCCCTTCTTTAGGATCGGGCTCATTCAGAGCATCCTCGAACTGCAGAAGGAGAAACACTTATCAAACTATGCTCATGGGTACTTTTTGCTTAGGGCCCTAATGAGTAGTTCTTTTCAGACAGGCAAACCCCACAGTGGCTCAATTTGTGCTAAACTGATTTGCTCATAAAATTACCCAAAAAATTGCATCATCACATTTTAATTTTGTCTGTTCTTACTCAAACCACATTCCAATTATAACAAACATAATATCTTTGGGATTTAGCCCGGCTGTCACCACTTTTTATTAATTGAAGTAGAGGGATTGAAAGAATATTAACCAGAGCAACAAGACCCTTCGATTCAGCAACAGAGCCATTTTCCTTGACAATAGCTTCTTTAGCAGAGATAAGTTCATAGAGCACAACCCCAAAGGCATATACATCTACCTTAGGAGAAACATCACCATATTGAGCATATCTGGACACAAGCATGAATAAAGTCAGTCCATTTTCACATGAACACAAACTGTTAGGCAACAGGCAAAATTCCTTACTGGAATACCTACTTGCAAGGAAGGCACATGGGGTTAATTAACAAAACTAATTTGTTGTTTATCCCAGAGCTAATATATTGTGATTTTAGCATCTTTGCACCTAAATTCCTACTAAAAATGCATATTTAGCTTTGAATCCAGTACACAGTTAATACCAGCAATGAAATGTACCCAAAAAAGAAAAAAAACTGCCGTGCAACCTAAGAGTTAAAGGTTAACAAATATTGATGTTATATTTTTATGGGTAAATTACAGAAAAATACCATTTGGTTTGAGGTAAATTAAAGTTGCTCAGGTTTAAAACTTGACACTTAACAACCCTGTGGTTATTTCTATTCCTTGTCTTCTTAACACCATTAACTTTACTTACAAGAATTTCTAGGTTTTTATTTTATTATTACATTAATTTAACAAAAAGAGATTCTAGATTTTTTATTCTTAACGGTGTCAAGAAAAATTCTAGCAACAAAAAAAACACAGAGCAGATATGTGTCATAATTTAAACCTTAGGGGGCAAATTTATTCTGCCTTGTAATACATTTTAATTTCTTCATTATTCACGCTTTTTTTATTTTCCAAACTACAAAAAGAAGGATATCATATAGTGCTTTGTGTTAACAAAATCTAACGTTTAAAAGCATGTTAATATCATGCCTATATGATCGCAAAATTATGTTCCATACCCTCTCCTCTCATGTCTAAATCACATGCATTGAGAAAATTCAAGCCAAATAATATAGAAAAAGTTCAGGTTTTAGTTTTTGAGGAGATGTTTGAATGAGCAAGGAAATTTTTTCTATAGAGAAGCATAATGTCCAATAATAAGGACATAAATCTACTATCGATATTGCTCATTGAAAGTAAAACCAAGTAAGCCGCCATATACTTGTAAGTTTTCCAGTTCCCACAACAATAATACAGAGTTCTCATCATCATGCGAGAACTCAATAATTTCTGCTCACAAGTGATAACCAAGTCAAATTTAAACACTTCCATGACAATTATGTTTTATGGCACCAGGTCAAATTTTACAGGATTTCATGCCAACAATTTGAATGGCATCCACCCAGTTATTACTATAACCTCTCCAATATCCTAAACATAAGCAGGCAAACAATCACACCCAAATATACATTAAGATTGAATATTGCACCGCTTAGGAGCTGGTCATGGGCAATTTCAGGGATATTCACTATTTCATTCAAACAGAAAAGCCATATTTGTAAAAGGTTTAGTTTGGTTTAAAACTAATTCAAAGATAATTACTTTGGTTTGCTTAGCTACAAAATCAACAAAACCAAAATCCAAAATTCATATACACACACATCCTACACCCCATAATAAACACAAATTAGTTTTTGCGAAAGAAAAAAAAAAGAAAGACATTGTTATGTAGGTGCCTGTGTCTACTATGTATGTTCACAATCAGTTATAAGTATATTGATTTGCCTTCTGAACTGAATTAATATGAAATTTAGTAGATAGGTTTTTTAGGGCTTTGTTTTTCAGAATACCCAAACAAGAACCAAACTGAATTAGCAATCAAACCTAGCAAAATTGATTTGGTATATTTTGGTTTCTATACCTAATTTTGTTTAATTTGATTTATAAAATTATGAATTGAATTATCCAAACCAAGCACTGCACACCCTAGATGATGCCCCTCTGGTCACAAATTCGTTGATGAGGGGCCATTACCAGATACACGGTCCTTAACAGCAATTGCTGTTGAGTTGCTAACATTAAGTTAGACAAAACAGAAAGTTATGAAAGCCCAACAGATATGTACTTAAGATGCTAACATTAGATATATCATGCTGCTCACTAACTTGTCTATGGTATCATTGGTCTCTTTAGTCATAAATCTATTGACAATGGGACACTTAGTCTAGAGTATCCAATTCTTGAACTTAAGTTTGGTCTATAACAACAATGGCTAATGAGTTAGCAATTGCCTCAAATTAGAAAGAATGAAGTTTATCTTACTCTGGTGGCATGTATCCAAACGTTCCAACAAGACGTGTGGGTAGTGATGCACTTCCAACTTCAGTCAATTTTGTTAATCCAAAATCTGCAACCTTCATTAAAGTTAAAAAATGATTCAGTGCAGAAATTACAAGAAGCTTTCAAACAGTCTACCTGATGAGAGAACAAAAAAAGTTAACCTTTGCATGGAATTTTTTGTCTATCAATATATTAGCTGATTTAATGTCACGGTGAATGTAAACAGGGACAGTATGCTCATGGATATATTCAAGACCTCTGGCTGAGTCAAGGGCAATTTGCACTCGAGTAGACCAAGGAAGTGGCTCCCTGCCTGGAAATAAGCAACATAAATCCATTAGTACGGCTCTGAGTCAATGCCATTACAAATTATTCTGCATAAGAGGTCTCACTTGAGCCTCGCAAATGCTGACTAAGATTGCCATTCTCAATGTATTCATAAACTAGGAAAAGAGAGCCTTCAACACAGTATCCGATTAAGCGCACCTGCATTGGATGTCAAAATTAATATTCACTTCAAACATATATAACAAAATAAAAACTTTAGGTGGTCATAATTGCAAAAGAAAAACTAATAAATAAAAAGAAAGGCCACTATATTGAGCTACAATGATTGAGAAAAGCTAATAATTTTCATTATCTCTACATAGCCACAACTGAAATCAAGGGTTAACCCACTTCAACTAGATACATTAAACTTTATTCAATTATTTGTATCATATAGCATACATTAAGGTAACATTAGGGACAGTAATGCATGAATTAACTGTGCCATAGGTGGATACAGACAAATCCTGTGACTCATTCTACTACAGACAACTTAATTTTGGCCTTTGGCTGTTGGCCTATGATGCCGCACCCAGAATATTAACAAAATCTTCTCCAGATTTAGAGATAGGAACAGATTCAAGAATGCTTTCTAGTTAATGCCAAACAATCACTCGAAGATATGTCACCCTTTAAATTTCAGTTTGCCATTAACTCTCAGAAACTGAATACAATTTCACTTTGTTAACCTTTTCCAAGGAGGAGAAAAAGAAAGTGAATTACCAGGTTCAGGTGATGAACATGTGTTAAAACCTTCAATTCAGCTAGAAATTCTTTGGATGCTTGCATATCCATCTTCTTGATTGCAGCTTCCTGCACAGTAGGCAATAAACAGAATAACTGACAATTGGAACCAACATGGCATGGCAATGGGTCATTGATGCAGGTTTATTCAGCCATAACAAGCATTTAACAGAGAAAGTTGCAAGTCCACAAAAATGCATGTGTGCATAGTTATTCGTATATCTTTTTTAAATGCAAGGAAGACCAGAGTTGTGTTTCTCTTAATATGGGAAGCGGCATATTCATGTATCTGCAAAACCATTTACCTATAATCCAAGCAAAAAAGCCTATGGTTAACAGAGTCATTCATTCTTTTTTATATATGAATCTTTTTATGCGCTTTCCTCATCTTGTTTAGATGCTCAACTCTACTCATCAGCTTGAGCTCCATATCCAATTATCCACATGAAACATTGGCCAAAATTGCAAGCAAATTGTGAAGGCAAATGAACATCCTTCAAACTAAGTGACATTCTGAATTTTAATCCTCTTAAACTCTGAACCTGGCTAGAAAAGGTTTCTTTTTCACCTCAATTAAAAACAGTTAATTAGCAAAAAATCCAAGTGATCTCTTCTGCGATCTACAATTTTTCCCCTCAGACACACAGTTCTGGTTAGCAACCTAGTTGTTTTACATTAACATGCCAGATGTTGAGTCCGTCTCTGAAACTTAGTCAAGAAGTAAAGCTAATAACTTAACTAAACATACAATCACCAAAGCACCAAAAAGAAAATTTTCTTCTAGAGTTTACCAATAAAAACTACAAAGTATGAAACTACATACAGACCTCGCCTCTCAAGTTTGCATAGAAAACAGCCCCAAAGCCACCTTCACCAATCTTGTTAGCCATACTGAAATTATCAGTCGCCTGGGCAAGTTCTTCATATGAGAACTCAACTGATTTGTCTACAGTAATGCCAGTAAGGCCAGGAGAAGCGGCAATGACCACAGTTGATTGTGCTTCTTTACTTCCAGAAACTAAACAGATCACACCAACAAAGAAACATAGAGAAGAAAAGAAAGAAAGAGTAAGGGTCAATCAGTAATAGAGATAATTATATTCATGATTAGTGATTTTGTTCTAAAAACAAACAAATAGATAAAAAAATAAAAGGTGTGAGATAATTTTGAAGCATTTATTCAAGAACAGTTCAGATGATAGCCCTGGCTCTCAGTAAGGATGTAAAGTGCAAACTCTTGAACAAAGAACTTTAAGAAAAAAGAAAGAAGAGTAATAGCATGTTATTTCACTCAGCATTCTGCAATAAAGAGCAGTTTTCCAAGTGGTTTTGCTAATTAATCACCTATTTGAATAGCATTTGCAGAGATTCAACTGGCAATGCAGTCTAAAAGGACTTGTAAGAAGCAACAAATTTGTGAAGTGATCTTTAGATTGCCAAATCTCATAAACAAACAAACAGGGAAAGGGGACAGAAGCAAGGGGGTTACCATTCCCAGCTTGAACAGATGGATCTTGGGAGGCTGCTGAAAGTAATGTTGCTTCCTTTACCTTCTTTCGGAAAAATCTAATATATAGACCAACTGCCAGCAACAGCAATACTGCTATTGCTGCTACAGATATCCCAGCAATAACTCCAGCGGAAATTCCTGCTCATATAAAGGCAAGCTATAAGCTCAAAATATTAAAAAAAAATCCAGCCAATCAGCATCCCAATATCATAATAATCACAAAAGCAACATGCAGAGAAGGCCAAACCACCTGTGCTGCAAAACAGAAAGAAAGAAGAAACATGTTTAGAAAATTTATGAAGGAGTCAAATGCAAAACAAATGATAATTATGCATTAAGATATTTTAGTTTAAAGTTTAAAGTTGTAGAAGCTACCTTGATTTCAGTGGTCGAAAACTATTATTGTCATCTGCAAATAAACAAAAAAAAGAAATGCTTTAGTGAGGCAAGTTAACAATTATTTATAATACCCAGGCTAAGAAACCATAATGCCACACCCTTCTTGGTGTTTAAAAATCTATAAGTTGAGCATATTGTATAAATTGCACAGAGTACTTTGATGAACAACCTAGAAATGAAATAATTTCATGTATTTGACAACATTTTCATGCATAGATATACACCCAAGCATAACCTGAATGATTGTAGTGAGCCAAATGAGTGGATAGCTTTAGATGACAGTGAAAACAAATGTTGACATCATTTAGAAAATGTGTAAACTCCCCATCACTTTATACAGTGACATAAAAATTACCAATTTGGTACTTGAAAAATCACTGACTGCAAGTTTGCAACTAAACTTCCTTTGGATCAATCCAACTCCCACTTTCTTTTTGATCAACCCAACTCCTATAGGGTGAATCTCAGAACAGTGTTAACGTTAACAAGCCTATGATCAAGATACCAAGCTGAACTGCCTAAGCTTAATCTCTACTATCTTAATCTTCCCTCCATCTCCAAGGGAACCACCCAATTGTCGGAAATTGAAACTTTTAGTTTCGAGATCAGGAGAGGGATTGGGTTTTATGAGAAGGAAGAAAACTACATTTCATTTATAACTCGAGCCCACTGGACTTTCACATATAATAGGGAAAAAATGGGCATGAACAGCTCTACTTTGTTAAATTACATAAGTAAATAATCATCTAGAATTACAAGCTAGACACTGAAATCAAATCTAAAATTATTAAACTCCATTCCCAAGTTAGCATCAAATTACTTGTTCAAATAATCATCTAATTTCCACGTTTTTTTTTCTTTTAATTCTCTTACAATATCTGAATTTCCACGTTTGACACCAAAATCCTACAAGAAATTATCCCATTTCCACTTACCTATAAAATTAACAAAACAAAGAATCAAACAAAAATGCTAAAGAAATCACCTTTGCCCGGAATAAACACCAAGCCGGTCCCTGCGCTGAAATTCGCCTGGGGATTGTAACTCTGCACCAACCCTGATAAATCAGATGATAGATTCGTCTGAGTCAACACAGTATCTAAAGTCTCCTCGGGTCGGAGCGGGTACGTAATAAACAACCCGTAATCCTTCGAAATCGCAGCATCACCACAAGAACAATTCACCGTCACATTAACCGTCCCAGTATCTGGTATATTAGTAGGCGGATAGCTATTAAACTGCTGCAACCATTCAACCGTCGTCAAATTCGAATAATACACGGTGGCTATCCTGTCGTAAGTGTCACGTGGCCTAACTTTGAATTGGAACACATGGCCGAGGAATTCGTCGTTGATGCAATCGCAAGGGAACGGAATGTTGAGTCTAGTAGAAGCATCGACGCTGTCTTTGTTGGCAACTTGTTTGTTGTAAGCGAGGATTGTGTCGAAATTAGTTGTCGAGAAAGGTACAAGGCTCGAGTTAAGAACCTCCGACATGAAGGTTAAGTTTGCATTGTCCCAAACGTAGTACGATGCTACGGCTACATCGCAGCCTTTGGTGCATCTTGCTTCTACTGAAAATAAGGAAACTGAGATGAAAAAGAATGAAAATGAGATCAATTTTAGTAACATTTCGGGAATTGAAAACCCTAAGATTGGGATTTTTGGGGGTTTAAGAATCGGAGAGAGGGAGAGAGCTGGAGGAAGTTGGAAGATATTGGAGACCGTTGACTGGAGATGTTTGAAATTTCGGTGATAAAGAAATATTTGAGGGAGAAAGTGATGAGGACGTGGCAGATGATTAGTGGGGTATTTTTGGCTCTTATTTGATTATCGTTCGATTGAATTTCCATTGCCGTGTTGGTTAGGGTTGAGCGCGTCGTACCTATAGCAAATTCCCGCGGTTTTTTGTCTTTGGGGATGTTGGCGACACGCTCGGAAGTATGTCAAGTATAATGTACGCGCTTGGGGAGAGCATTGAAGGCCGCAACACCCGCTGGCTCGGTCAAGGTTGCAGAGTTGCGGACACGGATGGAAATAACTGGTCAACAAATATAAACAAATAGTCAATCGAAAGAATCTGTATTAGTATTATTTAATTGAAAAATCCAAATTCCTATTTTGCAATAATTGGGTCGTTTCCTGAATTATTGATTGCAGCTTCATTTTGAAAGATATATGACTGTCGTTTATATGATTAAATTTATTTTTTATTTCATTATTTAATTATATTTTTTCTTATTTAATTATTTCGGTACCATTTATTAAATTATTATAGTAGCAAATATATCAAAACTTCAATGATGTGGTTTTAAAAAAATGTCAGAACTTTGCACTTTTTAAAAGTAATAAACCGAAAAAAGAAAAAAGAGAAATTATGATATAAATTGAATTTTAATCAATAAAATGTGAAAACTATTGTTGTAGATAGGGTAAGCAAAATTGGATCACAATAATGATATGATCAAATAAAATATCATTTGAGTAAAGTAATTCAATTTTATTAGTCTATTCTGTTTATTGATTTAAAAAATTTGATTCAATTAATTTATTTAATCGATTTTCGATCTTAAAATTTTTGGATTGAATTAATCGAAAAATTAAATCAAACTTGATATTATATATATAATATTTCCAATTTACTATTTATTAAGTTATTGTCAAAATTAATTTTATTATCTTTATTATTTTGAATTTTAAATGTTAGAATTTAAAAATTAAAACTTTTGAATGTTAATTTAATGATTTATATAAAAGGATAAAAAGTTTGTCTTGATTCTTGTGGTTATGAGTGTTAATTTAAAGAATGGTGACATTGTTAATGTTAAATGCTATGATTTATGTGAATAAAAAAATAAATGTTATTTTTTATATATTTAAATTATTTATATATTTTATAATTATAAATAAAATTTATAAATTTTAATATTATAATTTATAAAAAAATAAAAATAATAAAATTTTAATTTTTAAATTTAAAAGTAAATCAACCGAATCAATTTAATCTTTAATTGATTTGATCCTTTCTTTAAATTTGATCGATTTGATCAATTTTGTGAAAAAATTTAATCTATTTAATCCTTGATTACAATAGACGGAACCGATCAATTACGCATCCTTAATTACGGGGCAGCTTTCACCATGTGGTCATGAGAGACAGCGAGTATCGCTTATTTTCGTACTGATGTAAGTGGGTATAACTCTTTAACTAATACGATACAGTTGACAACAGAAGGTGGCTCCGACGTCGTTTAGGTGGGGTGGGTTTGAGGCCTTGACTGGGTACGTTCTTCTCCCGTCTGAGGCGGAACTTTTGGTGCGCTTTTTATTTTTTTCTGTTGGCAGCTACTGGCTGGCTGCTGCAATCAGGTGCACTATTATTGAGGATGTGAATCAAAATATAATAAAAATAAAATAATGATGGTATAAACATTTAGATACTAGTATTTTATAATGAAATATATATATATATATATATTTTTTATAACATTTCTCTCTTCCATACATGATCACGAAGTTTACGAATTTGACATCAATTTGGCATTTTGTCTCCATAGCTCCATCAGGGGGTCAGGTTCTTTTCTCATTTAATTTGGTATCATTATCCATTGTCAAGTTAGCTCCATAACTTATCTCACTTTTGCATTCTTCTTCTTCGTCTTCTTCTTTATTCTTTTGTTTTATTCTTTTAGCCTTGTATAATGTATATATCTAACTAAATTTATTCATTGTTGAATGTGGAGAAATTCATTCATGTTGACATGTATGTGCTGACAATATTTATTTGCTTAACTGGATCTTGATTATTTTGTCTGAGAAGGAAGAAAAAGGAGAAAGAAACAAGGTATAAGCACTTGGAGAAAGAGGACAATACTTGAAACAAAGTTCTCACTCGGAGAGTCACTTAGTACATCTTAATAAATTATTCATTTAACTTAATATTTAAAAAAATTAATTTATTTTTATTAGTTAATTTTGAAAAACATGTTTTGATATTAATGTTTATAAACATTATTATTTGAATCACTTACCCGTTAAAAGTTAATAATTGATATTTGACTTTTTAACATTAACTCATCTTTATCACAGGGTATTAACTTATTTGTCACAATCCAAGGTAATTAGCATGAAAAGATGTTTTAATAACTATATAACCTTGCTTTAAAAAAAAAACTATATAATCATTGATAATCAAGACGTGATTTTAAAATTAAGTGATCAAAATTGAAATTCTCAAAAAATTAATTATAATTTGTTTATTTTTTGAAATACAACAAGAAAATGAATTTTTTTTTCCTTTTGATGTTAAAAGACCTAATTATTTAAATAAAAGAAATAAAAATTTTTACATTTAACTTTAAGCATACAGAGACTAATACAAATTTTTGAATACATAATCACGTAATGAATTGAGGTAACAAAGTCACAAGTTAATAGCCACTCCAAATTTGAGATTTAAACAATTTCTCTCACCATCTATTAACATGGACGTACTATTCATGTAATTACTCCGGCTTAGGATTATCCTCAATGCGAGTTTCAATTAGAGGTATCCATTAATCAAGCTAGGTTGATACGTCTAAGCCTAAGCTCTATGCTTAGTGTATATACTAACTATCAATATACTATCAGTTAGAAAGTAGAAGAATACCATAAAAAATTATAGAAAGTATATAAGAAAATAACCAAGGATTGGAAGAGAATTTATGAAAAAAATGTTCACAATAAACAAGATAAAAACAAAAGTTTATGAACCAAGTCAGGCTTAATCCTACCAAGGCTCGACTTGAATCAGGCCAAGCCCACGAGCCTGGAGAGCTACCTGACATGTGGCTAGGTCCATATGTAAAGCACATTTCAAACAAAGATGTGGGCATTTTCCGTGCCTACCAATTGCGAAGCTAAAAGGCTAAACCGTTTGCACTATGTTTGTCAGGAAGAAAGGAAGATATAGGAAAAAGGTGAGGGAAAAAAAATTGAAGAGAGGAAGGAAAGCTAATTTTGTTCCCTTGCGATTTGGTACGAAAGATGAAAAATAAGAGAAAAGAAAGAGACTAAGGGTAAAAATATAAATCAAATAATTAAGTAAAAGGAGTATATATTTTGCTCTCAATTTAGAAAGATTAGATTTGAAGAGAAAAGAAATTGCAAATTTATCCATTTTCCCTCTTACCAAACAAAGGAAGGGGACAGGAAGGAAGGAAGGAAGGCTTAAAATACTTGGGATCTTGGTTCTAGACAGGTATCTCAGGGGTGCTACTTAATTTGCTCCCAAGTAGTAAAAGAAGTTTGCTGGGTTCATATCTTATACAGTTTATTGCTTCGGTTATGAAAAGTGATGTAAGCATTATATACTTGATGACTTATCTGCTTACGCTTTAAAGCTTCTTGGTGGAATGCTCTTAAGATTCTCAAGGCTGCTTCTTACAATTGCGTTGCTCCTTGTGCACCTTGTTTTGGAGCTGGGGGCTGCTACTGTTTCATTCAATTCACTGTGTCACTTCGGAGCTGGAAAAAGACAAAATCAACTTAGAAGGAAGAGCTGCAATGGGCAGTTAGAAAGCTCGAAGGAACAGCCCTCTTATCTGTCATCCTGAGTATTGCTTCGAGTGCTTATGTTTATCATCTTTGGAGGGAAAGAAACGACAGAGTATACACGCTTAATGCAAAAACCAGTTCCCAGATTTATGACAAAATTGAAGATTGTGTTCGCTCGGGACGTTTATGGCCTGAAGAATTTTGCTCTGATTCTCTAGTATTAGTAGGGACCCTCGCACAACTTGGGGACTGAATAGTTTTACGTTTGATCAACTTGTTGTTTGTTATTTTGGAAGCTTGCTGTTTGAATTGCTCTTGTCTTGACATTGTTTGTATCTGCAGCAATTTTTTACCGCTATTTTACGATTCCTATTTTACAATAATTAATTATATACATCCAAAGGTCTATCTTTTCTTTATTTTCTTGCACGATGGTAGAAAAGAAAGATAAATTACAATCTCTGTCTGTTGAATTATGACTTTATAGTATAATTAGTTTTCCCTTAATTTCATATTAAGCCCACAATGTGATTTTGACCCACATATATATATAAATATATATAATTGCATTGTTTGTTGAATTATTGACTCTTATGCTTCCAATGTTAGAACCATGAGGTTCTTCCATTAGTATTTCAGTCAACCCAGCCATTAATTGACAATTGGCCACATGTAGCAGTTGACATGTCAACTCATGCATAGAATATTGCAATGTTAGAATTTTTATTTTATTTTGTTGCCCCCTAGTTCTTAAAGTTTGAGTCTCATATCAAATTAATACTCATAATTCATAAAAGATAAAGATTTTTTCAACATTTGATTTTTATTAATGTCAGGTTAGTATTTTGTAAAATTTATGTTATTATCTGTGTATAAAATATAAAAAACATTAAAATTTTAAACTATGAAATTCAATACAAGGGATTAAAAGAAAAGGTTGAAAAGCAATTAAACAATAAATAAACTCAAATGTTAAAACAAAGAAATATATATATTCTTTTTTGAATTATGGTGACTCATTTGATATGCAACCTGAACTTTAGGGATTATGAATGTAATGAAATTAAATAAATTATATTTTGATATAATGCTCGAAAAAGTATTTGAATTATTGAAGAATATTTAAATAAATTTTTATTCTTTTATTAAGTTTAATCAAACTCATATACTTTTATTTTGAGTTAAATAAATCTTTATAATTAATAGTTGATTAATTAT